GGAATCCCAGGGGTGGCCTCAGAAGGACCTTTCGGAAGAGTCCTTCCGAGGCTACCGCTGGCATTTTCCCCCAGCTGAGCGGCAGGGCTCCCGCTCAGCTCGGGGAAAATGCCCCATCCGAAGGGGAATGCCGGCGGGGGCCTTGGAACGACCCTTCGGAAGGGGCCTTCCGAGGCTACCACCGGCCTTTTCCCCCAGCTGAGCGGCAGGGCTCCCGCTCAGCTCGGGGAAAATGCCCCATCCGAAGGGGAATGCCGGCGGGGGCCTTGGAACGACCCTTCGGAAGGGGCCTTCCGAGGCTACCACCGGCCTTTTCCCCCAGCTGAGCAGCGGGAGCGGTCCTTTGGAGGCTCCCGCCGCTCAGCTGGGGGAAAATGGGGCCTATGGGGAAAACATCGCAAAGCGGTTTTTCCCCATAGGCAACATCGCAAAGCGATGGCAAAAGCGATTGCTTTTTTGCCATCGCTATGCGGATTCATCGTTAACCGGGGCACTCATTAAACGAGGCACCACTGTATCTTGAAAACTGTGTCTCCCTCTGTGAACTTGCTTGGATGTTAAGATCATTCAGGGAGGCTTTTCTTCTGGTCACAGCACTCTCATAGGTGCACTTGGTGACGAAATGGGAAAGGGCCTTTTCTATTGCTCTTTCCAGACTGGAACTCCCTCCCACCAGGCTTGTCCCATCTTTGCTGTCCTTTTACAAGCAGGTGAAGAACTTTATCTTCAGTCAGGCTTTTCCTTATTGACTGACTGTCTAGGAGACAATAAACAGGATGGTTTATATTTTGTTGCTTCTCACTCTCTGTGTTGCTTTTCTCCCACTCCATTTGAACTAGATGTTTTCTACAGTTTTCACCTCAGGACATACTGCTCTAGATCAGAGGTCCCCAACCCCCAGTCTGCGGCCCAGTACCAGTCCGTGGCCATGGCAGGACCAGGCCGCAGAGACAGATCTCCCGCTCGCCAGCACGGGCCCCACCTGCACGCACGGGTTCCCCACCCATCTGCGAGTGCACCCTGCCCCTCCGTGCATGTGCACTCACACGCCCCTCCGCAAACGCACTTGCACGCCATGCTCACCCGTGAGCATGGTGCTGCCCCACCCCTCAGCCAGTCTGCGGTTCAGAAAAGGTTGGGGGGTAGTAATGAGTACAACAATAGTTGCAGACAGAGCACTTCCACTTGTTGTCCGCTGCAGATTGCAGTCTCCACAGCAGGAGTCAGCAAGGGGAGAAAATGGAGGTAGCTGAGCATCACATTTTAGCATTAACTCAGGGAGCTAGGTGTAGTTGACTTAATGGTCTTTGTGATGTTACAGCATTTTGCACATTTCAGTAAGATCTTTACTTTTCAGCTACTGTACTTGGTTAGCATAGGAGCTCTTTGACAGATAGCCTGCATGGCTACTCCTACAGGTAGTTGATTGCCCAGCATTGGTTGATAATGATACTCATCTGCTTTACTTCGGCGTTCAAAGAAATTATGGATATAGTGTCACTCGATCCTTTCTGTGATGCATGTTAAAAACATTCTCATGGTTTTTTCAGTTCTTGTACCAATATTTTGAAGACTAAAATAGAATCTCACATTCAGTCAAATGCAAGAGTGTGTGATACCTTTATAGACCACTAAAGAAATCATAGAGTTGCTAACTTTTGTGGATCTGGTGTTTACTTCGTCACACTTGCACTGGTGTCTTGTCATTAGTGCAGAGAACTTAAGAGTCCAAAGGTTCACAGCAGATGGATTTTGCCAGGCATTTAGTTTAGATATAAATTAGGAAATATGCAAGTTGTGTTGGAGTTGTGGCTTTAAAGTTACTGCTGAGGAAGCTATTGATTGGATATCACACCCCAGTTCTTTAAATAAAGAAGTACAGGCATTATGTAGAGACCACATTTGGTTTTCCTTTGAAATTACAAGTTTCTATTTGGTTGGGGGAAGAGGGTGACACAAAAAACACAGAGTCCTTCATCTGGGAATTGGAGCGAAAATTTAACTCACTAGGTTTATCCAATTGGGGTCAAATTAGTATTACATAGTGTTTTCAGTTCTCTGCTGATGTTGAGAGTCCATATGTCTTTTTGTTGGTGTGGGGGTGGAAGGTGGCTATTCTTGGTATCTTTAGTCACTATCTTCTGATCTGTTTTTCCAGCATGCGATATTCTGAAAGATACAAGACAATTTTTCCCAGTGCTTGGGTAAAGCACATTCTCTGCACTCGGTATTTATTTAATTTATATGCTGCCCACTCTACCCAAAGGTCTCTGGGTGGCTTACAACAATTAAAATTCAATTAAAATAAAATAAAAGATAAAATGATTAAAATACAATTAAAATAGATACTTTAAAAATTGCCATCAGGACCCACAGTTGATGTTATTTCAATTAAAAGCCTTCTGGAACATGTCCTTTCTGTTTTGGGTGGCCTTAGAACTTTATGGCTCACTGCCTCAATGGAAAAGCAGCAAGACAGGTGCTTAATTTTCCTCTGTCCACTTTGCTTTATACATCTTTTTTGCAGGTGGCAGTCAGGCTTTCACTACATGAAATAGCATGTATACCATGTAGCTCTAGGGTTGGCCTATCCTACATAAATGCAAAGTTAGAGAGCTATTTCATGTATTTTGCATAGTGGAGCAAGAAATGAGCAGAACAGCCCTTTCCGTTGGGCAGAGTGAGGCAGTCACTTTCGGGTGACAGATGCTCAGGAGTGAGTAGCTCTCTAGTTACTCTGCTTGAGTAATACAGCCACTTCTGCCTGAAGAATCACAGTGTATGCGCCACATGGCCCCCTCTTGCCACATTAAAATAGCCTATGGCTCCCAGATACAGCAGGGGACACTGTATTGTCACCAGAGTTGACATGAAACTCAGCTCCCAACTGAATTCATTTCTGAACACGGAAGTGGGAATGAGTAACAACACTATGTTGTCTTTTGTGTTAGGTTGCAAAATGTCATGGAACTGCCCTGAGAATAACTAAGCATAAGATTCTTTTTTCATTTAACAATTCTAATTATTTAATAAGAAAATATACTAAGTCTATATTTCAGTGTTTACCACGGATAAGCACTGTGTCCCCTGGGCTAATGTTCCAGCCAAAAACTGGAGCAGGAAAATATTATAAATGTGATATTAATAAGGTTCTCTTTTTGCTATTTTCTAGGAGAAGATGGAGCAGGTAAAACTAGTTTGGTTAGAAAACTTCAGGGAATTGAGGAATACAAGAAAGGAAGAGGAATGGAATATTTGTACTTAAATGTACATGATGAAGACAGAGATGGTAAGTATTAAGAAAACAGAAACTGACAGCATAATATTTTTGATTGGCATGTCATTCAGTTTTAAAAATATGTCATTTTCACTAATCCATGACTGTAAGATATAATCTCCCATCATACTGTAGCTGCCCTTTATATATCTATTCCTATTATTTTGGAAAAGAGAGTTAGCAAGACAGGAAAAGTGAATTGTGGGAGGATGACCCTGGGGACAAATCTTGGCAAGTTGCAGGTGGTGTTAGGAATGGGAGGTAGGTGTCTCTGCTTGTCTTTATTTCTACTTGCATGCTGTTGCTCCCACTGTCCTTAATATTTCCTTAGCCTGTACCTGCATTATATACCGTATTTTTCGCACCATAAGACGCACTTTCCCCCCACAAAACGGGGGTGGAAAGTCTGTGCGTCTTATGGAGCGAAGAAAACAGATTATATTTTCCTGTTTTCTTCTCCTAAAAAATTGGTGCGTCTTATGGAAAGGTGTGTCTTATGGAGCGAAAAATACGGGACTTTCCCACTATTTTCCCTCCTGTTTCTAGTTTCTTTTCTTTAAAATGGTGCCATTTCCCTCAGTTTGATGTCAAGGTTAATTGTACAGCAAAGTCCTCAGAGCACTATAAGATCATAACACTATTTGGTAGGTTGAATCTGTAGGGGTTTGTCATAGCTGACATTTTTCACTTCTAGAGTTAATTTCAATGTGAGATCAGTCATATCAAAGTTCATCTGGGTACCAAGGTATAAGTTGTTTCCTTGTTTAGATGCTCCATCTCTCTTCAGAGGATGAGAAGGAACCATTGTTTCACTCATGGTAAAGTAAATCTTTCTCTAGATGTTCATGTTATTTTCATTCTACTTTTCCCTGGTAGAAAACTAATTCCAGGCAACATCAGCTTGCCTAATTCTTCAAGTTGTATTCATCTACATTGCTTCCATATGCATGAAAAGTATTATTTCCAAAAGTATTGGAAACGTGCTGGTACTCATACTTTAGTTATAAAGAAATTCAGTCATGCAGTCACTGAGAAACTGCAGGTTTAAATATTTAAACAGAAATCAATTTTTACAGCTAAGAAAAGCTACAGATAGAATTGTTTAAATCATGTAAAAATCATCCTGAAGTCTTACAGCGATGAAAAAACTGTAGGTGCAAATGGCTAAGAATATATGGATATTAAATTTACAGTTGTAATCGGAATTATTCAACCCACACTGCAAATCAAGTTTATGATTTATGATCAAGTGGCTTTCTTAAATTCAACTAAAAATGCAACTTTTAATGAATCCTACAGTCTGAAAATTATTCACCCCTTCATGACAAGCATCTATAGTACTTACCGTATTTACCAGTGTATAAGATGACTTTTTGGCCCCCAAAAACATGCCTCCGAGTGGGGGGGTTGTCTTATACGCCGGGTGCACTTCAGTTGGGTCAGGAAGGAGCCACTGCCGAGTGACGTGGGGCCGCTCTCGCAGGGGTGGAAGGTGGGCGGGCAGGCAGGTGGGCAATCCAGACGGACGGGTGGAAGCAGAGCCGGCCATGGGCCATGCCTGAGTGGCCAGAGCCCGCCGCCGGGCTGCCTGCTGCCCCGCGTCGCTGAGCCAGCTGCCTGCCCGCCCGCCGCCGGATAGCCGCTTTCCCTCCTCTGCTGCCCGCCTGGCCGCTTCCCCGCCTTGCAGCTGAGCCAGCTGCCCGCTCGCCCCCGCGCCGCTGGAGAGCTGTTTCCCCTCCTCCGCCACCGCCCGCTCGGCCGCTTCCCCTCCTTACCCTCCTTGCAGCTGAGCCAGCTGCCCATGCACCGCCGGAGAGCTGTTTCCCCTTCCCCTCCTCCTCCACTTTCGCCACCCGCCCGGCCACTTCCCCTCCTCGCAGCTGAGCCAACTGCCCGCTCGCCTGTGCGCTGCCAGAGAGCTGCTTCCCCTTCCCTTCCTCCTCCTCCTCCGCTGCTGCCCACCCGGCCGCTTCCCCTCCTTGCTGGCCATGAATGTCCAGGGCAGGCCAAGCAGGGCAGCCGCCGCTGGTGCCGCAGCAGAGCCGTCCACTCTATATTTTGAGTGGAAATGTTGGGGGGGTCATCTTATAGGCCCAGTTGTCTTGTACGCCGGCAAATACAGTATTAGAGCACCCTTTTGCTGTTATGACCTGCTGCAAATGAGATGCATAGCCAGACACCAACTTCTGTCAGTGTTCCTGAGGAATCTTAGACCTCATGACCAGTGGCTTCTAGTTCAGTAGTATTCTTGGGTTTGCATGCTCAACCACCTTCAAATCACCTCAGAGATTTTCTCTGAGGCTTAAGTCAGGTGACTGTGGTGGCCACTGTAGAGTCTTTCATGACTTGTTCTGCAACTAAACCTTGGTGGAAATTGAGGTATGCTTGGGATCATTGTGCTGTTGGAAGTCCAGCGACTCCCAAACTTCAGCTTTCTCACATGGTGTTGATACAGTCCCTACTCACGTTAGAAGAACAATGAACAGATGTTTGAAGGCTGTTCATTGTTCTGGGACTGTGATCAACCACCAATATCGAGATAGCCAACCCACCACTCTAAAATTGGTGCTGTTGAATGCCAGGTCTGTGTCCAGTAAGGCCCAGGTGATTTACGACCTTATCCTGGAGGAGGATGCAGACCTGGCATGCATAACTGAGATGTGGATTAGGGGGGAAGGGGGGTCCTCCCCTGGCTCTCATCTGTCTGCCTGGTTATGCCATCCAGCACCAGGGTAGACTGGAGGGGCGGGGGTGGGGGAGTAGCCATTGTTTACAAATCCATCTTAGAGGTTACTAGGCGCTCCTCGGTGGTAAGGCCAGGTCTAGAGGCACTCCACATGTCGATTGGGGCCAGGAATGGTATTGGGATTTTGCTGGGTTACCGTGCTCTCCACGACCCAGCCACTTCCCTTCCGGAGCTGGCCAACTTTGTCTCCACGGCATTGTTGGGATCCCTGAGGCTTTTGATCTTGGGTGATTTCAACGTGCACGCGGGGGCAGAGATTACTGGGCCAACTCTTGAGTTCCTGGAAACCATGGCTTCCTTGAACATATCCCAAAATGTCACCGGCCCCACCCACGTGGGTGGCCATACGTTGGACTTGGTCTTTTCCACTAATTGGAGCGAGTGTGGTCTGATGGTGACTGGTCTTGTGTCGGTCCCCTTGTCATGGTCAGATCATCACCTAATAAAATGTAACCTCGCAGTGGCTCCCCCCCCCCTCCCCGCAGGGAGCAGGGACCTATTTCTATGGTCTGCCCTCAAAGACTACTGAATCCTGTTGGATTCCAGGATGTCATGAGAGGGATTACGGCGGACCTGGCTGGCGCTCCTGTCGAGGCTCTGGTTGCCTCCTGCTTCTCACTAACAGTTTCACTGTGCATATTTATATTTTTCTCAAGGTTTTGATTCATTAAGATTAATGAGTAGATACTCCCACACGCTGGGCTGACAGGTTGTTTTGAAAACAAAGTGATTTTTTTCTATTGAAGTGGAGATACAGTATTTTTTTGTGGACTTTGATCCAGCAGAGAAACGTATACTTTTTTCATGGGTTCCACCAGGGTTGCCATCCTTAGTGTGCTTTGCTAGTTGTGTGTAGCCAATAGTCTTTTACATGTATTTTACTAGTCTGGTAAAATTAGCTGTTTGCTCTGAAAGGATACCTCTAATATGCATGCAATACACTGCTGTTTAAAACTCCATTTTAAATCCCATTTCACATTTTCAGGGTTACAATTATTTACCCCCCCCCCAATTATTTCAACATTTCACTCATACAAAAATTTCAGATTTGACACTGAAATTTCCTCCATTTTGCCTCTTATCTCTGCTGTGCTATCTCATCTTCTCCCTCCTCTTTCTCTTTTTTCTTTAAAATTCTTCAATCCCACTTTATCTCTAGCACTGCTGCTTTTTCCTCTTATCCTCTCCCCCTCTTTATCTGCCTTTGTACTTTAATTTCTATCCTTGACTTCAAATATATAGAGAGAAATCCATCTAATTTATTTAAGACATTATAATTCTTCCAACCTAGCCAATATCAAAATGGTCCCACCTATAGACCATTTATTTTAATTATATGCTGTCAACTCAGTTCCAATTTATGGCTACTCTTCCAGCATTTGTTTTAGATAAAAAAAACACACTCAGAAGTGGTTTGTCAGCCCCTCCTTCTGTTGATGCTCTGGGACTGTGCAGTTTACCTAAGGCCACATAGGTAGCAAGGTGTGCAACCCCATAAGTCCTGCTTGAGATATCTTGGCTGACCTCTCCAAAAAAAGCACAGTAGAGATGTCCATGCTGGCTCTATAGCAGGATGCTACAACCCACAGAGATGTACTACCATTTTACACTGCTATTAATTGCTAAAAATGGCAGTTCTCTCTTTTTGGCTTCCATTGATGTACAGAGTTGGCTTGATTCTGCCATTTTCTACTCCCATAAGAATCCTGGATGAGAATTATCTAGTATGTAATTATTGTTTAAATTTAGATGTTATATCTATATCACATTAGTCAGTTGTTTCTATATATTAGTACTATAATAGACTATGGGACACCTAAACTTACTTTCTGTTTTTATTGTAGATCAAACAAGATGTAATATATGGATACTGGATGGTGACCTTTATCATAAAGGTCTACTGAAATTTGCAATGGAATCTAGTTCTCTAAAGGACACTTTGATTATGCTGGTTGTAGATATGTCTAAACCATGGACTGCATTAGATTCTTTACAAAAATGGGCAAGTGTTGTACGGGAGCATATTGATAAGCTAAAAATTCCTCCTGAAGAAATGAAAGAAATGGAACAAAAAAGTGAGTACTTAACTGAGTGGTTATCTGGATTTTATTTCATTAGCCAGGTCATTTATCAAATGACAGTTCCATTCACCAGATGACAATTTGGACCTCAAACTCAGTTGTTAGCCTCACAGCCAAAGTTAAATTCTAAATGGCAGAAGAAATCCAGTAGCATTTTGCTAAAGATGCTGTCAGCAGAATCACCTTTGTTGATTTAAATACATGTTAGTTAGGCTGTTATTAGTGCAACAAATAAAAGGAAAGCTGAGAACCGTATTTGTCTTTCTTTTTAAGCCTACCCTGTTTCCCCTAACATAAGACCTAACCTGAAAATAAGCCCTAGTATCGTTTCTCAGGATGCTCGTGATATAACCCCTACCCCAAAAGTAAGCCCCAGTTAAATGAAACCCCGCCCTCCACCAGGAACTCTTTGTGCAGCCAGCAACCAGAAGATGACATGACTTTATTTGAATAAATGTAGATTGTTGTACATGAAAAAAAAAACATCCCCTGAAAATAAGCCCTAATGTGTTTTTTGGAGCAAGAAATAATATATGACCCTGTCTTATTTTTGGGTAGTAACAGTTCATCATCAAATTATAAGATTCCTGCTAAAAGTGCTGTAATATTCAGAGTGTGTACTTATAATTTGTTTTGATTGTTTAGCTTATATTTGATTGTATGTTTATAGCTGGAATAAGAGTTCTCAATTCATTATAAAGCTGCTGTTGTAGGACATTAAGTTCCTGTAAATAGAGAAAAGTTGGATCTTTTGAATTGTAAGTGCTAAATGCTGGAATAAATTTAACCCCCTAAGTGTAAATTTTTTAGAGGTTTGATCCTCAAAAATTATTTGATTCTTGATGTGGGGAGAGGAAGTTCAGTAAGTTCTAGATGGCTGAAAGCAAAGGTTATTAAAAGGTACTTGTGATAATGTATTTGCGAAGGCTTTCACGTACTTGTGATAATTTATGCACACCAATGCATACATAAAAATGCTAGGAGCTCTTTTCCAGTTCACCCAGAAGACTGGACACCAAAAGACAATAGGAGCAATATAGTATATGTGGTCCAGTGCAAAGAGGAATGTTCAGAGCTCAAGTTTGAAGAACTCAAACAGCCACTAAACAGGAGAATGGCCCGGCACAGGAGGGGCAACAGCTCAGGACCACAATCAGCCGTGTTCCTTCATTTGATCGACAAAGGACACTCGTTTGATGACCAAGATGTACACAATTTGGACCGAGAAGATAGGTGGTTTGAGAGAAGGGTAGGGGAGGCCATACATGTTCAGATAGAAAATCCCTCACTCAACAGGGGTGAAGGCCTTAAATACAATCTGTTTCTTATTTATCATGCTGCCCTTTCATCTGTCCCCAGAAAGATCAGGACCACATCCACCAGAAAGACCACTGTTAACATGACAATAGGTGGAGAAGGACTGCAGAGGTGGAATTTTCACTCACTCTCACTTCTCCTTCCTCTGTCCTTCTAAGAAGCCTATTCAGACCAGGGGGAAATGAAACCAACCTGGAGGACTTATCAGGGGTTTCCTGCCAACTCTCCTCAAACTGAAGAAGCTACTTGGATGAGTAAACATTTCAACCTAAGAAGAAAGAAGTCCAGTTGCCATGACTCAGCTTTCAGATCTCAATGTGTTGCATCTGGGAGAAAGTCCTAAATTAAAAGGCATTGAGGCTTAACTAGACCAAGCCCCCTCCCAAGCTTCCTGTTCCTTCCCCAGTGCTAGCTGGGAGCTTTGTTTCTGAGAAGGAAGCTTGGGCAGAGCATGGCTTAACTAGGCTCCAGTGCCTTCTAAATAAGGACTTTCTCCCAGGTGCCTCACATTGAGGCAGAACTCACAGAATGGAGAATTATGGTGTTTGTAGTCCAGAAAATCTCATATCTAGTGGTGAATGCAAAAGTCCTGGCTCTTGCAGATGTTAGATTTTAGATCAGTGTTAGTGTCCTGATGTGTATTCATAAAAATATGTACATTGTGTTTTCTCCAAGGCCTTCTGTTATTTCCTGTGTTACAACTTTCTTGTTGGATCAGGGAGCCTATCTGTTTAAAGTCTGTCAAGTGGAGATGGGCAGAAAGTATTTTGATGTGATCTGTTGTCATTTTCAATACATCAGCAAAGGTTTCTTCTGATTTCCAAGTTATTAACAATTTTAAAAAATCCACTGTGACCAGATTTGTACTAATTGCTATCTTTTTGCCTTAGTGTTCCTTACTTGTCAAACAGAGGTATTACCGTATTTTTCGCTCCATAAGACGCACCAAATTTTTAGGAGAAGAAAACAGGAAAAAATCTGTTTTCTTCTCCTAAAAAATGGTGAGCTTTATGGAGAGGTCCATCTTATGGAACACACCCTAGGACCCTTTGGAGGCTCCCCCTGCCCCCCCCAGAGGCCAGAGGGGGGCGAAATTGCCACCTTCTGGGACTCTTCTGAAGCTTCTCAAGCCTCAGAAGACTCCCAGGAGGTGGTGATTTTGCCCCCTCTGGCCTCCCGGGGGGGCAGGGTGAGTCTGTAAAGGGTCCTGGAACACCCCCTAGGACCCTTTAGAAACTTGCCCTGCCTCCCCCGGGGTCAGAGCAAAATCGCCAAATTCTGGGAGTCTTCTGAAGTTTCCCAAGCCTCAAAAGACTCCCAGGAGGTGGCAATTTCACCCGCGCTGGCCCGGTGGGGGGAGTGTCGCAAGGGTCCTGGAAGGCTCACTTGGACCCTTGTGATGCTCTCCCCACCCTCCCATGGAGCCAGCGGGGGTGAAGTCACCCTGGAAGCTGGCGATTTCGCCTGCGCTGGCCCCGTGGGGGGTAGAGGTAGCATCGCTAGGGTCTCAGTGAGCCTTCCAGGATCCTTGCAACGCTCCCCCCACCTAGAAGCTGGCGATTTTGCCCGCGCTGGCCCCATGGGGCGGTTGGGGGAGCATGGCAAGGATCCTGGAAGGCTCACTTGGACCCTTCTGACGCTCCCCCCCACTGGTCTTAGCTCCATAGGACGCCCAGACTTCCCCCCACTTTTTTTGGGAAAAGTGCGTCTTATGGAGCAAAAAATATGGTAATTGGTTGCCTTTGAGCAGTTTGTGTACATAGGCACACTTTTATGCTTGGGTAGTCTCTAATCTGTAGTTGCATAGATGTAGACCCTGTCCCTTTTTTGCATAATTCTCCGCTCCTTCACTCTCATCATTATCGTCTTCCTATTTTGTGGACAGCTAGTGCTGGCTGGCAGTTTTATTTTAAAAAAGCGAAGTATATCCCAGTTTTTCAAATCTGAAGTCTGTCTATCCCAGCAGTAAAGCACAATTCACACTAATGACACATCTTCATTGACATTGTTCTCACACAATGAGCCTTGTGGAGCAGTGGTTAAAACGCTGTACTGCAGCTAAAACTGTGCTCATGACCTGGGGTTCAAATCCCAGGTAGCCGGCTCAAGGTTGACTCAGCCTTCCATCCTTCCGAGGTCAGTAAAATGAGTACCCAGCTTGCTGGGGGGGCAATGTGTAACCTGTATAATTAAAATTGTAAACCGCCCGGAGAGAGCTTGTAGCGCTATGGGGCGGTATATAAGTCCAATAAATAAATAAAATAAATAAATATGCTGTCTAACAAATGATGGGATATGCTGTCCAGCAAATCGAGGGTCACACATTCTTAAAGCATGATCATTTTAAATAAAGAATGGTTTAGGTAAATAGTGAACTTTGGCTACTGCTGTTCTCATGCTTGAACTAACAACTGTTTTGGGGGGTTTAAAACTGTTTTATTCATTATCTAGATTTTCATCAGATTTCTTTCTGTTTTGTGACTAAGAACTTGGTTACATGTAGAGTGTCAATCAACATTAAAAAAAACCAAGATCATGGACACTGGTCCCATCACCTCCTGGCAAATAGAAGGGGAAGATATGGAGGCAGGGACAGATTTTACTTTCTTGGGCTTCATGATCACTGTGGATGGTGACAGCAGCCATGAAATTGAAAGACTCCTGCTTCTTGGGAAGAAAGCGATGACAAACCTAGACAGTATCTTAAAAATCAGAGACATCACCTTGCCGACAAAGGTCCGCATAGTCCAAGCTATGGTTTTTCCAGTAGCGGTGTATGGAAGTGAGAGCTGGACCATAAAGAAGGCTGACCGCCAAAGAATTGATGCTTTGGAATTGTGGTGCTGGAGGAGACTCTTGAGAGTCCCCTGGACTGCAAGGAGAACAAACCTATCCATTTTGAAGGAAATCAATCCTGAGTGCTCACTGGAAGGACAGATCCTGAAGCTGAGGCTCCAATACTTTGGCCATCTCAGGAGAAGAGAAGATTCCCTGGAAAAGACCCTGATGTAGGGAAAGTGTGAAGGCAAGAGGAGAAGGGGACGCCAGATGATGAGATGGTTGGACAGTGTCATCGAAGCTACCAACATGAATTTGACCAAACTCTGGGAGGCAGTGGAACACAGGAGGGCCTGGCGTGCTCTGGTCCATGAGATCATGAAGAGTCTTGACGACTAAACAACAACAACAAGAGTGTCTAAGTGTCTACAAATTTCAGTTAAATTCTGTCTGCAATTTTTAACATAGTTCTTTGGGCAACACTATACAGTGGTGCCCCGTATAGCGAGGTTAATCCGTTCCGGATTAACCTTCGCTATGCGAAAACATCGCTGTACGGGGCAGGAAAAGCCTATTGGAACGCATTAAACTTAGTTTAATGCGTTCCAATAGGCGCCCAAACTTACCCCTCCAGCGATGTTTTCGCGGTCCGGCAGCCATTTTGGAGCCGCCAATCAGCTGATCAGCGGCTCCAAAATGGCCACCGGATGACCCAAAATGGCCCCCGTCAGTGTTTTCACGCCCTCCCCTTGCTTACCGAGGTCGTGAAAATGCTGCGGGGGGGCATTTCGGGTCATCCGCAGCCATTTTGGAGCCGCCGATCAGCTGATCGGCGGCTCCAAAATGGCCGCCGGACACCCCAGTCATCGCAAAGCGAGTGCGGCGATTGGGGCAGCTCCGTATAGCGATCCCCAAAAAGGGATCGCTATACGGATTCTTCGTTGTACGGTGCGCTCGTTAAGCGAGGCACCACTGTACTTTTTAAAGTCTTCCTATCCCTTTTTAAAATTCCTGTTTATGGTTTAATGTATTAGTGCAGATATAACTAACACACAGTTGACAAAGCTAAATGGTACATAAGGTGATTTATATGTATATACACTTGTCAAGGAACAAAGTAACTGCCCCTTAGAGAGACCTCATAGAAATTTTCTCTGTCTTTATTTCAGTGGTAAGAGACTTCCAAGAATACACAGAACCAGGGGAAGACTTTCCAGCTTCTCCACAGAGAAGAAATACATCATTACAAGAAGATAAAGATGATAGTGTCATTTTACCGCTGGGTGCAGATACACTAACATGTAATTTAGGCATTCCTGTAGTAGTAGTTTGTACAAAGGTTTGTATCAAATTTTACTTTCTTTTAAATATATATTTAAAAGCCACAAATCAGGTTGAATTTCTTAAAATAAATGGACATTACTTCTAATATATGCAGTAACTCTGAATCCTCCATATTCAGTTTATACAGTGGGATCTTGACTTGCGAACTTAATCCGTATTGGAAGGCGGTTCGCAAGTCAAAAAGTTCATAGGTCAAAATCTGCATTCCCATAGGAATGCATTGAAAACCATTGTAATCCGTATCTGCTCTTTTCAGTCCATAGAAACTAATGGGAAGCTGCTATTCCGCCTTCTGCCACTAGAGGGGGATATTTTGTTTCTTTTTTTCTTAGGTACAGTACTGAATCCCAGGAAGGCGAAACAGGCAGCCAAACATGGCTTTCAGGCAACCTTCTTAGTGTGTTCCCTTCCCCTTCGTGGCCCCATCGCCAAGGCTTGCTTGCAGGTGTCCTCCTAGGGTGGCTCCTGCAAGCGGCCTTGAATCCCCCCCCACCTGGGCGAAGGTGCCCGACTTTGGGGGGGAGGAAGCCATGCCCTCGCCTCAAGGCAGCCCCTCCGGGCGCACCCTCCCACTTTCCCGCGCCCCTCTGCTCCGGCGAAGGTGGCTTTCCCCGCCGCCGCTGCCCCCCCCCACCGGTTCGCCC